CAACCTGATGACCCTCTGCTTGTCTCCAACACCTTCTGCCTGCAATTCTGAAGACTTCAGTGAATTTAGCATTGCAGGCACCCAAGGAGATAAGCAGGACTGTCCTCAGGTGTACAGATAAGGAAGCAGAAGCACAGACTGACTACAGGATTTGCCCAAAGTCACATAAAACAGCCCTGTGAGAGCAGCAAAGCAAATCTCAGGTCACCTCATGCTCAGGCCCCTGAATTATCCCATTGCCACTGCTCAGCTGGGTGTTTCTGCACCTCAAGGTGTTTTTTTGCTGCTGAGATGTGGTGGTCAGAGATGTTCTGCACAGGATATTCAGGGGACATTCAGGATCTCAGATTCACAGACTGGGCTCCTCGGGAACCAGTTTTCAGAAGTGACCAGTGAATTGGAGACCTTTGCAACTACAAAGCGTCCCTAAAGGCCCTCTGTAAATCTCAGCACCTTTCCCACTGATATTCAATCCCTCCAAAAAGGGTCCAGAGCAGGAAGCACCAGCCACCCAAGTCTCCAGGCCCTGCAGGGAAACTCAGGAGCAGGCAGGAATTAAACAAGCTGAAGCCAGAGCTTCGGTGACCTTGTGCTGCGCTGAAAACCAAGCGGTTAAAACGCTCTTTAAGTCAACATCCCCATGAGATATTAGCCCCTATTAACCAGATGACTTTCCAGAAGCTCCCTTCAAGCCCTAACGAGCTGAGTGTCTCCTGCTACCAGAACCACCCAGAGAGGAATGAGGCGACCCGACAAATGCGCGGCGGCGCTTTCCTGCTATCTTCGCTAAATCTCTCGCATTTTTATATGGCACCTTAATAACCCCTCATTTCCATTACAAGTGCATGCTTTCCCTCGGCTTATCTCCATCTCTATCCACTCCTGCTCCATTCCTGCAGCCACACCGCCCCCGGCTACAACCCGGGGAGCTCCGAAGAGCTCGGCGGGGTCGGGTCTTGCTTCGTGACGGCAGGACAGTGCCATAACTCGGGAGGTGGCAGGACGTGATTCACCCGTGGCACCGCTCCATCTGCGTCAAGGCTGAACCCGGTGCCTTAACTTTAGGGGCAGGAGACGTAAACCCAGTGCCCTAATTCCGCAGGAGTCATTAAGGCATCTGGGCTGCGACTTTCTCAAGAGACAAACTCCTCACCTCGCTGCCCCCGGGGCCAGATCTCGGCTCCTTTTGCCCTGCCTGCCCACATTCCCCAGGTAGTTACGATCAGATACAACCTCTTTGCTTCCTGTTGTGCGCTGTTAAGTGGTGGCTGCGCTCCACCCCAGGGGTGGCTGCATTTCAAAAGCTGGGGAGTGATTACATCGTATACGAGGCTGTAAAAAGCACCGGGCTCTTTCTGGGAAGAGAAGAGCTCGGGATAATTGGTGCTTCTCAAGGCAAATCCTATCAGTATCCCCTCAATGCCCTCACCTTTTTGGTTAAGGGCTAAAACCGGTGGCGAGTTTAGGTAATGGACCTGAGATTTAGGGCTCGGTGTCCACAGCCAAATCGGTGTTCCTGGAGCTGCTTGTTCAGCCGTGACCAACTCCTGGCAAATGCAGAAATTCTTCAGGCTATGTGGCCTGAAGCCTCCTGAGGTTTGGTGAGCTCTTCACCTGTACAGAATCGTAGAATCCTTAAGGTTGGAAAAGACCACTAAGGTCATCAAGTCTAAACATTAACCCAGCACTGCTACATTTACCAGTAAACCGTGTCCCCAGGTGCCACATCTACGTGTGTTTTAAAGCCTTGCAGGGATGGTGGTGGCTCCACTACTGCCCTGGGCAGCCTGTTCTGATGCCTGACAACCTTTCCAGTGAAGATTTTTCCTAATATCCAACCTAAACCTCCCCTGGTACAACTTGAGGCAATTTCCTTTTATCCTGTCCCTTGATACTTGGGAGAAGAGATCAACTCCCACCTGGATCCAGCCTCCTTTCAGGTAGTTGTAGGGAGCAATGAGGTCCTCCCTGAGCCACCTTTTCTCCAGGTTAAACATCCCCAGCTCCCACAGCCACTCAGTTGTCCTTCTCTGGACAAGCTCCAGTCCCTCAATGTCTCTGCTGAGCTAATTCAGATCATGGTGAATCCAAAATCAGATCCAAGACCTGCAAACTCCCAAGCCAAAGCCACCCCTCCCATACTGATGCAGGAGAAGGTTTTCTGCACAAACACCATGGCTGTAAACACCTTCTTTTCAAGGCACAGGTGGTCCCCATGGCATTTGCAAACATCAGTTCAGCACCTACAGCACCTTCCCAATAAGCCAAAGGCCTGGATCAGGTCTCTCCTGAGAAGAGGAAGGGGTGACACCCAAGAGATGAGAGGTAACCTACCCAAGCAAGGTGCTTTAGCCACTACAGGTGTCAGGTAGAAGCACAACATCTTTGTTTCTAAACTGGAGATAACTGGGTTTGATGGATGGACCACTTGGTGGATGAGGAATTGGACAGATGGTTGCACTCAAAGAGATTTCCAAATGGATGCCAGTGACAAGTGGTGTTTCTCAGGGGTTGGTTTTGGGCCTGGTGTTTGTCAGGGACATGGACAGTGGGATGGAGGCACCCTCAGCAAGTCTGCTGATGACACCAAGCTGAGTGGTGCATCTGACGTGCTGGAAGGAAGGGATGCCATCCAGAGGGACCTGGACAGGCTGGAGGGGTGGGGCTGTTTGAACCTCATGAGGTTCAACAAGGTCCTGCACCTGGGTCAGGCCAATCCCCAGGATCACAAATACAGGCTGGGTGGAGGATGGGTTGAGAGCAGCCCTGAGCAAAGACTTGCGAGCATCAGAACAAGATGATCTTTAAGGGACCTTCCAACCCAACCATTCTGTGATTATTTGACAAGGTTTCAAGATCAGTTAGGCCACAATGGGAGGAGGTGGAAGGTGTGTCAGCCCTTTTCTGGCCTGGCACTATGGATACCCTTCCAGACCATAATGACATTTAAACCATCAGCTTGTCTGAGTGGCTTCTATGAGAAGCCTTTGTTTTTCAAGGACCCCAAGGCAGGTCAAGTGTCCTTGGAGTGATCATGTGAAGCTCTCCACCCCCAAAATTTGGGTTCTGAATCCCACCTGGACTTAGGCAAGGTATGAAATCCCAAGTCCTGTCAAAACCGGACTCATCTCTTCATGCTCCAAGCTGAGTTTTCAGTCATGAACTGCACGGTCATCACTTGCAGGATACTGGGATCCTCCAGGCTGGACAGATGCTGAACAAGGGCTTTTCAAAATCACACTGGGGACCTGAGGGTTTCTACATTTTCCTTTTTTTTTTTTTTTGAGCTCTAGCCCTTGGTGACTTATTAACCTCCCCGTGTGCATAGACAAACATGTTCCAGGACATTGCTCATACCTTCAGCTTGTAAGTTCATGCACGTTATTTCATTTGCATGTTGTTGTATTTGGTAGTCTTCCCAAAGCAAAGCTTAAGTTCTTGCTTAAGCCTTACAATCCAGCCAGGACTGTTTTGCAGTCTTGATTGCTCCCCAAAAACATGTTGACTTTTTTTTGGCTTGGTGTATTAAACTCTTTGCATTAGTAAAGCCTGGGAGCATCTGGAGGGTAAAGATTAAGCCAAAATGCCCAGGGAAAGCTCAGATCAGCAAAATATGGTGCAGAGAAGGTTTGGGTTGTTTTGAGTAGTCAGCTGATGCAGAGCTCAGTAGAAGTTGGTGAAGATGCTTCAGCTGAAAATGTGACCTCGTGCCTTTGGGATCTGTTCATATTTCAACACTGTTGTAGCAGAATCATCTGAAAGGTGTCAGAAACAACAATGATTTCTTGGATAACTGGTCTACAGGCACGAGGTGAGCTCCTGTGGGGAATGCTGTAAGAGGTTAAAGGAGGCCAGTTATCAGAACTGTTGTGTCTGCTTTGAATTCCCTCAAGGACTTGAGAATAGCCCTGTTTATGGCAAAAATACCATTTTACCGAAACCAAAAAGCAGGGGTGATTTCTGAGGCATGGTGTTGGACTCCAGGGTCATTTCTTGTGAGTGAAGAAACCAAAACTGAAGGTGGGGGAGGAGAAGGGGGATAAAACCTGATATTTTGGTATATTCCCAATTTGCAAAGCAGTTTGAAACATTTGTTTTTAGTTTGGGCAAAGTGCAGAAAAAGCACTGGCATCCAGGAAAGCCAGGCCAATGCTGAGCTCCCCTTCCCCACCCAGCTCCACCTGGGATGAAAGGCTGTGATGGAAGGTCTTCACAAAGACTAAAACTCCTCAGTCTTTAGCCACGACATCCTTTGGCTGATCCCTCCCACCAGCCTGAGGCAATGGGCAGAAAAGGAAAGCTCCTTTCCAGTCCCCTTAATTAGGCAAGTGAGGAAAACTTTGGGCAGGTGCAAGATGCCATACACTGAACACTGTCACTGAGTGAGTACACACCCCAGGGAAAGGATGGAAGGTGAGGACAATGTTTAGTTTACACAGTGAGGAGTGAGGAACTATCTGTCCATCCTGGGGTTTTCCTCCCTTCCAGCCATCAGCAGCTCTCCCAGCCGAGGAAGAGGAGGTGCTTTAACCCGGTGCTGGTCCCACCACTAAGGGTGGAGGCTGTTGTTAAGTGCAGACCTGCGTTTTCCATGTTGTGGGAACACCCCCAAACTCTGTGCATCCAAAGCCAAGCCCACAGCTCAGGGTACGGCCGTGTGGTACCCTGACTGCAAAGCACCATGTGGAATATTCCACGTGCCCCCTGAAACCCAGTTTTGCCCAGCTTTTTACTGTGCCATGACCCTCTCCAAAGACCTTGGGATGACCCGAGTCAGAGCTTCTTGGCTGACCTCAGCAGCCTTGAGTCAAGCCCGGTCCTGCCCTGCACAGGAGCTTGTTTCCTAGTAAAAGAAAACGTCTTTGGAGCAGGTCCAAGCCAGACCACAGGGAAGAGGAGAGTTTCCTGGCCTCCTGCCACGCCCCGGAGAGAGGAGACATTCGCAGGACCGATCAAACCCACGTGTGGTCCCTCAATCCCCTGCTTTCTCTCTCCCACAGCCACCAGGGAATCGGCCTTCGTCCACGCCATCGCCTCGGCCGGAGTGGCTTTCGCCGTGACCAGGTCCTGCGCCGAGGGCTCCGCCACCATCTGTGGCTGTGACACCCGCCACAAGGGCTCCCCCGGGGAAGGCTGGAAGTGGGGGGGCTGCAGCGAGGACGTGGAATTCGGGAGCATGGTGTCCCGGGAGTTCGCGGACGCCCGGGAGAACAGGCCCGACGCTCGCTCGGCCATGAACAGGCACAACAACGAGGCCGGAAGGACCGTAAGGACTTTTGTTTTTTTTTCTCCTTTCTCCGTCCTCCTGTCAGTGTTTTCTTTACCTGCCTCGGTGAACTGTGGGAGGGGATTGGAGGGGGAATGACCAAACCTAAATCTGGGCAGATTTACACCTCAGAAAGATAATACCTGTCCTGTAATAGTTCTTGTCAGGGAGGTGATCGATGGAAGTGATCTGTGAAAGCTCCAGCTAAATTCACCCACTCAGATGTAAATGTCTGCCTTGGAGTCAGTTGTCCAGAGGTCTTTTATAGAGGATGGATCTGGACAGGTCTAGGGTGGGATTTCATCCCAGCTTGGTGAGGGCATCATCAAGTGGTGGACGTCCCATCCCTGGAAGTGTCCAAGGCTTTGAGCAACCTGGTCTAATGGAAGGTGTCCCTGCCCATGGCAGAGGGGTTGGAACTGAGTGGTTTTTAAGGTCCCTTCCAACCCAAGCCATTCTGTGATTCCATGATTAGAATAAATAATTCAATTATAATGCCCTAACTGGGCCTGCTGCCATCCATTGGCTGTAGGACATCTGAAGTTGAGATGGGCCAGGGCTCAAGGGGGGATTCAGCTGCTTAAGAAAATGCATTTTAGTATAAGCTGAGATATCCTGAAGTATCCAACACATCCTTGGAAAGACAGTGTGTCTCCTGCAGTTCTGCCATCCTGGGGCTAATCACAGAATCACAGAATCACAGAAGGGCTGGGGTTGGAAGGAACCACTGGAGATCATCTGGTCCAGTACCTTTGACACTCAAAAAAGGCATTAAATGAACGTGTTCAGACAACTGAATCCTAGTTTGAGTGCAATTGTCCATTCCCATGGGATCATCTCTCTGCTTTGTAGGCTTGAGGGAGGAGAAGAACAGGAGACCATTTCCCACCACCCCTCTTCTCAACACTGTTCTATTTCCTGGGAAATATTTGAAGAAAATCAGAGGCGGTATGACTCTGGTACCTCTTGATCAAACTTAGACCATGCCCTAAAGCTGGTTTTACTTCAAACAACCAAGGGAAAAAAACGTGTCAGGAAAAAAAAATGTGTCAGGGAAAAGAAAGCACAAAATCTTTCCCCCATCAGAGTGTCTGCCTCATACACAGGGAATCTTTTCCCTGGGTGGAATAATCCCAGTAAGAGGATATAGTTTTTTTCATCTCCAGAATAACCCATAAATTCCAGAAGAATGTATTTTGTGGGAAACAATTTGTGAAACTGAAGCACGAAGTTCTTGCTGATGGAGACCAGGATGCAGTTTCTCTGAGATATCAAAGAACAGATTAATATGGTCTTGTTCCCTCAGCAGAAGGTCTGGCACATGTCTGGGAGGACATTAGAGCAAAGCCACCACAGCTCTGCTGTGCAAGTAAACAACTGTTCTCAGGCAGAGTAGGACTTTGGTGTGAGCTCCTCTGGTGGGCACCATCAAATCCCAGGGGAGTTATCCCACCTCACACCCCAGCAGAGCTCTTGGAATACAGCTTTTGGAAATGAAATACCACCAGAAACCAAAACTGTCTCCGATGTAGACAACCACAAGCAATGATGTGGTTTCCCCCAGCTCTGACCTAAATTATCCCAGGTAACCCCAGATATTGTGCATGGTTGGTGGAAGTTTCTGGGATAGATAATGGGACAAAGAGGACTGTGGAGAAGATGTATAGAGTGGGAAGAAGGGATTTGCTTTGAAGTGAGAATCCTTGGAAAAAATGAGCTTTGAGCAAACATCCCTGTTGATGACAGACCTGCAGAGGCCTTTTCACTGTAAATCCTGTTCTTTGACACCGAGTTATTTTAGGACATTTTGCAGGTGTCAAAGGATCTAAAATCCTACTGGCTTATAAAGCACTTTTCCGTTCTCACCATGCCAGCACTCATGGAGTAGCTCTTCCAGGCCTCCATGCCCAAGTGTTTCCAGCTAAACCCGAGCCATAGGCAATGTTTCATCCCAGTTCCCATAGGAACTCCAGCCCTGCCCCTCCGCCAGCAGTTTTGATTAAGTTCAGCGTGATTATACGAACCAAACATGTTGTGGTTCCCTCTCATCACTAATTACAACCTTTATGTGGCGGGTGATACTCCGTAAATAACCCAGGAAAGCACCTGGTGAGCACCAAGGTGCTGATTCATGGCAAATCTCTTGGCCTCAGCCTGGCACGAGTCTGTTCACGTACCCAGAAATTTGCTGATCAGTCTGAAAATGCAGATTATCAAGCCTGTTGCATAAGGTCGTCTCCCACCTCGGAATCCTGGAGGGCAACACCTCTGGAAATGTTAAAGCTAATTTCATAAGAGGAATAAAAACAAATAGTAAACTTCTGGGATCAATAATCACCTTCGTGTTTGCTCCAGGACAGTGTTTTGTGTTGAAGTTTTGAGCCTTTCAAAATCAGAAGTTGGGCTCCTATTTTTTTTTTCCTGCTGAAATGGTTTCAGAAAAATCATAAGCCTGGCTTAAATATAGCAATAAGCGATGTTTTGGTTTTTGGATGTAGCCACAGCAAGGCTAGAACCTTGTTTGCTTAAGTAAACATAAAACATACGTAAAAAGTAGGATTCTGTTCTAAGTAAAACATGGAATTCTGTTCCAGATAGTTGGGAAATTTCACATTTCCCTAATTTCCCATGGAATAGCTGCATATTTTATTTATGAAGACACTGTTTGAGTAGTTTTGTGCGTACTTCACTTCTCTGCCAGGGTGTGCCTGAATTCTTGGGTGACAGCACTGCAGTATTCCCACGTGAACATTGATAAGACAGAAGTTAATACGCTCAGAAATCCCTTCATCCCCTGGTGGAAGCTCTTGGTAGATGCTTAAATTCGAGGTGGGAATCAGAAGTAGCCACTGAAAACAATAAAGTTGCAGAAGCTTTATTTTCCTTAGGCCCAGAGTCAGAGCAGGGCATTGACTGGGGGATGAGGTGATTTTTGTTCGCAAGTGTGCAAATATATGAAATACAAATATATGAAATATGAATATGTGAAATACGAATATATGAAATATGAATATGTGAAAGAGGAATATATAAAATAATTCATAATTCTTTAGAAAATCATGGCTAAGTATCAGGGTGCCATAAGCGTTTTTGATCACAGGTTAACGCCTTTCCTTCTCCTTTGCCTTTCTCCCCTTTTCCAGTCCATCATTGAACTCATGCACCTCAAGTGCAAGTGCCACGGCCTCTCGGGCAGCTGCGAAGTGAAGACCTGCTGGTGGTCCCAGCCAGACTTCAGGGTCATTGGGGACTACCTCAAGGACAAGTACGACAGCGCCTCGGAGATGGTGGTGGAGAAACACCGGGAATCCCGCGGCTGGGTCGAGACCCTGCGGCCCAAGTACAACTTCTTCAAGGCTCCCACCGAGAAGGACCTGGTCTACTACGAGAACTCACCGAACTTTTGCGAGCCCAACCCCGAGACGGGCTCCTTCGGCACCCGGGACAGGATCTGCAACGTCACTTCCCACGGGATCGACGGCTGCGACCTGCTGTGCTGCGGCCGCGGCCACAACACGAGGACTGAGAAACGCAAGGAGAAGTGTCACTGTATCTTCCACTGGTGCTGCTACGTCCGGTGCCAGGAGTGCATACGAGTCTACGACGTCCACACGTGCAAATAAAAGCAGGGAAAAAAGGACCCTTCGCTGGGCTCCGGGCGGAGGAATGGATTTGAGCCTGCTTCCTCCGAGGTTGCGGACGTGAGAGAAGTTGACTTTTTTTTTTGATGTTAAAAGAAATAAAAACTGGAAAAAGAAAAAAAAAGGCAAAAAAAAAAAAACAAACCACCAAGGCTAAAACTGGTTGGATAGAATAGGTCTAAGGACTTCTGGCCTATCCTGAGGTACATCTGGCAGCCACACAAGTTGTGCCCCAACGACGCCTCCAGTGGGAGAGCGGCTTTTCAACCAACAGCACAGAGCTGGGAAGAAGAGCACGAGCAAAAGCATGGATTTGCTTTGCTCTCACCCACCTGAAGTGACTCGTGTGATTAAAGTGTCCTTTGAAAGACTTGCATCTTCCTAAGCATCTCCTTTTCCCTCAGCCAGGCAAGAAGCTGTGATGGATTGCACCACTGAGCTTTCCAAGAGGTCCATCTCCATACCCAAGTGGCCAGGCTCTGTGTGTAATATGAGCAACAGCAGCAAAAGAAATAAAAGCAGATAAATTAATTTTTTATTTTTTTTTAAAAAAGAACATGACTTCTTTGCTTTTACCCTGGAACCAGAGAAGTCTACAAGTATATAATAGAGTGGGCAGGCCCTTTGTGTGGACTTTTTAGCTTAGTAGCTCCTGCCAGATTTGACATAGGATTCAGTGACATCTGGAGAAAGGGGAAAGAGGGAGAAGAAGAGGGAGAGAAAGAGAGACAACTGCTGGTGGCTTCCTGCCAGTGCCCTGTTGGCACACAGGTGATGTGCACAGTATGGAAAAGTTCAGTGCCTGACATGTGAAGTGAAGAGGACTTGGGGAGTGTGTGTTGAGAAGGAGACAGTCCCCAAAATGGGGATGTTGCTCCAGCCGTGGCTCAATCAGCCAATGGGTCTTCCTTGGAAACACACAGTGCAGAGTGAGTCTCCTGGGGTTTGGTGTGGGACATCCATCTCCTCAGCATCCCAGCTTGTTCCCAGAGGAGGAAAGGGAAAGTGTTCACCCTTCCCACCTCGTTAGAGAATCCTGTCACCAACAGTGGGAAGTGCACTTAGTATATCCACCCTCTGCACAGCATTCAGGCTCCCCCCAGGCACTTAGGAACAGCTTTAGACCAGAAGTCTGTCATCAACATGACTCTGAAGGACCGATGTCACCCATTAATTTACATGATGGTGAACCAACCCACCCTCCCCACCACAGCCCACGAGCTGGAACAGTCTCACACTCAAGCCAAATCTTGTTCCACACTTGATTTCTACAGCCATTCCCACCTATAAAAGTGGCACAGCTTAAAATGGACAAAACCCAGACTCTGAACCAGCCCAGAGTTTGGTAAGTTTGGACACGGAGCCAAATCCCAGCTTTTGCAGTGCTGGCCCATCTGACTCCACATCCTTCCATGCTGCTCTACTTCTGATTCCAGATCAGGATCACCAGTTTACACAAGCAGGTCTCACCTCCTCCATGGGCATCAGGACTTCCTTCAGTGGGTATCAGGCATGAACTCAGCCCCATCACCTTGGGATTTACAGCACTGTCACCCTACTTGAGTGGTCAGTACTGACACAAAGGAGTGGTGAAGCAGGCATGGAGTCACAGCCTCTTTAGCCTCAGATGCACTTGTCCTATGTCCTCTTTGCTTTATCCATGCTTTTGGGTTCCTATCCTGGGAAAACTACAATGGATTGGTGTTTACTCTTCAGTACAGGAAGGGAAACAAGGCACGAGCCAACTCCCAGAGTCTCCTCATGGCTGGTTCACACCTGGATGTCTGCCTGGAGAAGTCAGAGTGCTCTTCCCTCCCTGCATGTCAGCTCATTCCCGGGAACCAAAGCAGGGAGTATGCAGAAGAAGAAGGGAACAAACAGATCTTAATCCCATCAGAGGGAAAACAGGAGGAAATGATGCCTCCAAGGGCTGACTCTGAGTCACAGCGTCTCCTGGGACTACTCCTGGGCTGGTGCAGTTTGTGCATCACCCATTTGTCTCAGGGCTGTGCCCGAGGGCACAACCAAGATTTGCTTATGGATGGAGGCACTTCTGGCAGTGCTTTTCAATTAAAAAAAAAAACACACACAAAAAACAAGCTGCAATGAAATGAGAGCAGAGAAGCAGAAGGGAGAGGAGGAGAGAGGAGGAGATCAACAGGGGCAAAGGGAAATATGGGGATGAAACCAATCTCTGTGTTCATGTAAACATTGCATCCAGTGGATGGCCACACACCAACTGGGAGAAAGCAACAGATCCCTGAAAAATGAGAGGGAGATGGACCAACTGATGGACACACGACTGATTTTTGTAATGCAGTCTTGGGGAAAAGGAAAACCTAATCATTATGGAAAACAGAGAAGGAAGCCACTGCAGGGGGAGGTTGCCACAATAACCAACGTTCAAACACGAGCTGACAAGAAAGCAAACACTGAAGAAAACCCACGTGTGGGGTGGAAGACATTGATGAATTGGAGGAGATGGGATAAGGGAAGATACATCTGATTTACTTAATGTGATGCAGTGGAAGCAGCCACAAGAGATGTTAGACACGTCCTACCAGGTGCTTCTGTCAATAAATGGTGACCTGACAGCAAAAATGCAAAATATTGCAGGTCAAGGTCCCTTCAATCCATTGACTTCAGCGGGGTCACACCCACAACTTCTTTTACCTAAGATTTTTGAGCAAAGTGGTTTCAAAGTCCTTCTTTTACACCACTCCAGTGAAGAAATGGGTTGAAGGATTTGGCTTCCACGTGTGGGAGCTGGACTCTGCCCCAGCCCATCCACAGCCTGCTCACATCCACCACTTCTGCTTTTGCACCCAAGAACAAGCCCGACATCATCAGCAGGTGAAGCTCTTTGGGGAGGAAAAACTGGAATTAGGCATTTGCTGAGCATTTGCTCCTTAAGGTGAACAAAAAGATTTTGACTGCGACGGTGGAATTTGTTTCACCTGGTCTAAGCTATTTATCTGGTTTTCTATGGGGACCAACAGCAAGGACCAAACGAGTCCAGCAGGTGATTCACCACACCTGGGGTGGTACCTGGGCTGTGTTTGGTAAACTGCCCACTGGGTGTACCTCTGTCTTTCCTCTGACTTCAGCTGGTGAGCTCAGAGTAGGTGATGAGCTCTTGGATGGGCACAGACTGATGATGCAAAGTCCACCGTGAGTCAAGGAGGTGAAGCTGCAGCCTGATCGTCAGCGGAGATGGGCTGGAAGTTGTGCTCCTTCACTCAGAGCTGGAAACAGCTCAGTGGCTGGGGACTTCCACCCCATTCAAGGGGTTTTCAATGAAACCTCTGCATAATTTTTTGGGTTTGTTATGTAATTAATCATCCACTGTGATGATACAACGTGAGGGGTTGAGCAGCTGCTACTAAAGTCAGTGAAAAATTCCTGTGTGAACTCTGTTAAATCACTCCAGGTGCATCCAAGGGTTCTGGTGCTGGCTCCAGCTCTGCCCATCCATGAGGAGGGAAGGGAGCCTGTGAGGGGTCTGAGGTACACGCACTGCTTCTGACCTCATGGCTTTGGAGAAGGGCCTTGGGCCATCGCTCCCTGATCCACATGAATTCAGGGAGCGTCCTTGGAAAACTAAGATCCCGCTCCACTGCCTGCACCAGATGTCTCCAGTCAGGGTTTCCACTGTATTGGGGTGAAAGATTGAGACAATGATGAGTGAAGTGCCATCCCTCCCTACATATCATCAAGGGTTATTTAGGAGATGGTCTAAATACAGCCCAGAGCCTCCTCCTGCCTCAGGTTCTCCCCTTCTGTGGGAACAGCAGGGCCTTCCCTATGGAGGGGACTTAGGATTTCACTCACTAATATAAGAATCTGGTGACATTTTAGCTGCCCTACAATATCCTGTCGGGATCCAGACGTTGTTTCAATGACACAGGACTCACACAAGTCTTACATCTGGGCAGCTGGGTGTCCAGAATGACCTGAGGTGTCCGTGTGGGCAGCTGGATTGTGCACTTCCCTGGAAATGGTTTTCTACCACATCTTCCCCCCCCCTCCAGTCGAGCTGGGTAATGCTCCAGCCAAAAGGAAAAGATCATTTATTTCCCACTAATTGGAGCTGGCCACTCCACATCCATGATCCGTGGTGTCCTTCCCTTCGCTCTCCACTTCTGAGGAGGTTTGTCCTCAGGCAGAGATGGTTTTGGATCAGGGGTGTGTGTGGCAGCACCGGGGAAAAGGGAGACAATATCATCCAACCGAGCAACCCAGATGTAAAAAAACAAAAAGTAAAAATGGATCATAATTCCATGCTCTTACGTGCTGCTATCCAACCTTTCCTTTAGCTGGACAGATGGGTTGGACAGGCCCCATCAGTTCCACATCCAACCTCTTTTAAAGACAGCGGAGTGACCTGCGAGGGGTGAAATTGGCCTCATCTCTTTTCTTTCTGTGAAAGAAATGAAAAGTTTAGGAGTTGTTTGGGTTTTTTTTTTTTGTTCATTTTCTTGGTTTGGTTTAGTTTTAGAATTTGGGGGCTTCTCTTTCTCAGAGAAAATGGAAATATGGGGAGGGAAATGCATGACATTTTCTGTTCCTTGACCCCTGATGTGCCTCTCTTGGCTCGGGGTCGTGCCCAGCACCGATGGTCTCCTCCAAAGCATTTTGAAGCCTCCAGAATTGTTCCCAATCCTCATAAGGGGCTTCACATACAGAACTAAAGCAGTCAGGAATTAATTTTTGGAGGGGATTGCAGTGACAACCACACCACAAAATGCCATGTGGCCCAGAAACCCCTGAGTCAGCACCGACCACATCAGCCCTGCAGAGAGAAGTGATGCCTTCTTAGCTGAGCATTGCAGGATTTCTGTATTAGCAAACCTCAGAAAGCAATTTCTTCTGCCTCTCAATCCAAGGTATTTTTGGTGTTTTCAGTGCATTCAGATATTTTGCCACAGATTTGTCCATGGGTTATGTCACATTTGTCATGTGAGGTCACGTGCTTGTCGTGCCCCCACCCTTCAGTTCATCTACAAGAGAAACACTCTGAGCTTTGGGGG